CTTGGTTTTTAGTGGTCCTCTAATTCATGTCAGTTAGTAACATAACTTGAAAGCAATCAATTTCTTACAAATCAACTTTTGAAAATCTCAGTTAAATAATGCTGAGATATGTGGAAACAAACTGTCAGAAGAATAAGGCAGAATTTTATCTGATATCGAATTTTCACTCGACAGAATTATATAGTAGCGTCTTTAGTAAAGCAGTGAATCACTCATTCAAACTGTTTTATTTCGAACAATTAACTAACAGTTAGATAATGTTTTTTACTTATGAGAAATACATATAAAGGCATCTTTTGTGGCTTCATCATTAAGGCATATATATGGATCTGTAACCGAACATGATTCTCAAAATGATTGCAGATGTGCCTTGCTGATAAGGTATAATGATTATGGAAAGCTTTTTTCATTAGTTGGTATTTATCATACCTGGGAAATGGCATCTTGTTGTCTACTTCGACCAATATAATGGACTGGTAATTTAAAATAATTCCATTAATAAATGGAAGTGGGTTTGAATAATAGCTACAGTGACCTGGTAACTATTTTATTTACTAGGAGTATTCGTCTAGTTACGTAATCAGACTTACCCTGTTTTCTCTGTGTGTGATTATCTTACAACTCGTTCTATTTGACTGAACACTTTCTGTCAAAATACCAGCTTCAAGGAATAAGAGAGTGAAAACCTCCTAAAACCCCAAAGAGTGATGTAACACAAAAATCAGAAAGCCTTCCTGTTATTAATTTGATAACATAATTTTAAAATTCAGAGTGGAAATTGCTAACTAAGCGGAAAGATGGTGTTTGTTTTGGTGAGTAGTCTATTTGGTGTTGCTTCATTTAAACTAGTAAATTCATTTTTAATAAGTTACCTTATTATTTACACCTGGAAAGAAATCAGAATTCAGTGTCCAAAAGAAGTTAGCAGTGTAGAGTAATACAAGGACTAACAAATTCCAGTTTTCCCATTTTTGCTTTATTTTTCTGACTCTGTGTCAGTTAGCATCGACTGTTTAGCCTTCACATTACCACTGATTGGCGTAAGTGACTTCAAACTTTACATTTAAGTAGATAGTGAATAACAAAGGACATTAAGGTTCTGCAGTAAAAGTCATCGTCTGTACAGATTCCTTCTCTAACCTACAGTAGTCAGAGAACCATCGAAAACCAATGAGCACTTGATAGCTGTTTTGTTCTATTTTGAGACCGTTTAGCGGTGTACAACTACAACTCCATCAGGGATGGAAACCAAGAACTTCACGTCACAAAGCGAGCGCATTACTATTTAGTCACTGGGTCAAAATCACAATAATCAGTGAATTCGCTATCCAATGTCACGGACTTGGTGTACTCTACTGGTCATGAATTCCCAACAGAACTCCCGTTGGTTCATTCAGTAGTCAGCCACTACTGAGAAGTGGAATAACTTTCAAGTGCTGCATCTGTGAGGATTTGATTGACTTCAATGAGAATAACTGAAAGCCATGGCCTCCTTGTATTAGTCATCACTGAAAGCGTTCCTAAATTAAAGTCTTTCCACCATATATAAACTAATTAATGTAATTGTATATCCGAAATGCAGTACCTAGTTATTACCGATTTTGTTGAAAAGATGTGAAGGCAATGACGATACTCCAATTCATTATGAAATTACCTGAAATAATCCCAATGTGTTCAGAAAATCAAAACAAGATTCTTCTAAACGTTTCCCTGTGTAAGCTTCTTAAGCAGAATTACAAAGATTTCACTTTAAACATTCTAAATTGATGGAGTTTGTTTAATTGTTTTACTGTGTAAAGATTTTTAGGAGAAAAAGGTTAGAACCATTTTGTATCTTTTATTATCGGTTGGTATTTTCTACTCTATTCAAAGGTTTTTACCTCAGATAATTGGAAAAAGTAGTTGAACGTAATGAAATAAACCAAAAATGATCTGCTGCTCAGTAATATCAGTGGAAAGATAGTAGATATAAAATCTTTCTAAACAAATCTCCTCTTTAGACGAAAAATTACCCATTTATGTTGTGTTTAAACAGCTGTGATAACTTACAGGAATATTACTGTCAGATTTTTCAAGATTAGAAGACAAGGATCTCAACAAGCGCTTCATTCTAATTGTTACGAAGTAAAAAGATATTTATGTAATTTGAAGGATAGCTCCATCTCTTGTGAACAACTCTCAGTAAAAAGATGAATGATCTGACCCGAACTTTTGTGAAAAAAAACTGGTTTTGAAAATACACTTAGACTACAAGTGTCAAGGAGTGAGGAATTCTATAAAATATAACCAGATTATCCAGCAGTGAGCACAGTGTTCCAGATAATCATGTCAACACATCTAGTACTTTAATGGCTTAGTAAGTCTAAACTAGCAGTGTGGATAAGTGTACGGATTCACTTAGGAACTTATAGGCTTTATCGTGGATTTTTATTATCAGACATTCTCCCAATAACCTAGAGTTGACTGTTATCTTGTTTAACTTAGTCGAAAATAGATACGACTATCTTTTTGTAAAAGGTTAGGCAAACAGAGTGAAAACTGTTTTTATAGCTATTGTAGGTCTAGTTAAATAACTTCATATCTAAGTCAGTTCAGCGTATAATATCCATTGCTCACAGTCTAATTCTGCAAGCAGCAGTAATGCAGTACACCCGTTAGATGAAAGACAATAAGAATATTCAAACTGGAATATTTAAAACTTAAAGCTGTGCCACCTTCCATCACTTTTTTTGCTGTAAATGACTATTACTGCTTATATCTTGGATTCCTAGTGGAATATAGGACCCCTGAAGCATATCTTCATTGTACTCTGTCTTGTATCGTCAAGACAACAAGTTTTCATTTTTCCTTCATATGAGTTATGAATATGAAAGTCGAACTCTCAACTCGTCGCTTTCCATTCGGATTTCAAGCGACGGCCTGCCTGGCGAGTGATTTTACTCAACGGTTTCCTCAGCGTATGTTTAATACATTTTCATTTTCTTCCGCATATTTATTGGGCGAGGGGTTCTTGGTTAGTCAGTTGCCGGAGGTCCTTGTTACTTATCCTTCCCGACCGGCTATCCAGTTTTCAATATTGAGAAAATGCATCTGTTGATGAAAGTGTGCAGTAGTCTGTTGGAAGTGCTTTCATTGACACGACACCAAGTCTCAGAACTACACAGAAGCATTGACTTAACATTAATGTTAAAAATTAGAGATTTTTTCCTCGTCCTGAGTGATGCAGATCTGAACACTGATTTCAGAGTAACGAATGGTTCTGTTACCTCTATCATCCTAGGTGGCTCTATATCCTCACACGTGCCACCTGTAGTTGATAAAACGTTGCCTATCCTTTAGATTCCTCCTGTTGATGGTGACTGCTGCTTGTTGTTGCTGGTTCATCTGAAGTTTTATCTTGAATGCCTCTTCTTCCAATATATTGGATTTTGCTTGTGGACAGTCAAGTTTGTGAGTCACGAGGCGAAAATCATCCGCGAAATCCAGATCTTCTAGAATCTTTTAGTTGGTCCGAAGTATGCTCGTCCCGTTACTTCCAGTGGTCTGTCTCATGATCTACTCCAGTCTTGGCATACTCCTGTCTTTATTTCACACGCTTCGGTGAGTTTTGCTTTGTGAATTACTTGATGTGTGACACCAGTATATGGAGACGAATGTAAGTTGGTCTACGTAACTTGTTGATTAGTCGTTGTCACAGTTATCAGAGTTAGATTGAACTGTATTTAGGATATTTAGATTTATCTTACTTATATAGGTAATAATTTGTATAGAAGTCTTAATGTGACAGTGAGAAAAAATATTGTCATCAAATATAACTACACCATCTAACACCCAATAGTGCAAATTAATGCCTAGAATTCTGACAGTATTACTCTGTTTCATCAGCCATATTTTGTTCTACAGAATTAATTTGGTTTTAAGTATTACATATTGCTATACTCGACAAGTTATTAGAAAACAAATAGCCCACAAGGAAGGACGAAGTTACTGAAAATATGCCATCGACCATCGATAGACTTACATGGAGAACCAACCTTTCAATAAGAAAATTAGGCTGAAATGAAATGAAAATGCTTAGGATAGCATGAAACTTCAATGTGGTTTGTGACTAGCCGATATCTAAATATGTTACCTTGAGCATAAAAATGCTATATTACTCAGAGGACAAGATTATCTCTCAGAAGGTTGAAGCATAATTTATATCAACGTTGCAATAACAAAATGTAGGGGGAATTTAATGAAATCGGCAGTACACAGAAAAAACCATCAGTTTAACTCAATAGAATATACCGGAGTAAGCAGAAAACTGCTTTTGAAAATCCATCTTTACTAGAAAACCGTAAATATATAGTAACCAGTCAATTTATGAATAGTAATGTAGTCTCAATAAATCCTTTGCAATCAAAATAAACTGAGAGAATCTCAAAAACTAAGTATCTACCTATAAATAATCCACTATGATCCTCATAACCGGCAGTCACATAAGAATATTAGCTCCACAGATGTAAGGAAAGTAGGTTTCACGTCATAGTTCAATGGGAGGAAGTCAAAGAAATAAACAGATGAACCGTGATTAAGTTAGTTAGTATCCATAAGACAGACGACTTGCCCAGTTATCACTGATCCACTATCCCAGTGATATTATCACTTTATACGACAGAAGACTACTGTTTCTCTCAACTATCAGTCTCTTTAGTAGTGTTCACACAAACTTAGACAAAGTAACTATCAATGCTGTTCAGTTTTCAATGTCTCTATGACGAAATATACACTAAACTATTTATAACCCAACTGAAGTAAATCGGTAACTAAAAACTTAATATTTCAAACAGAAACTATAGATGTTTATAGTGATGCTTCTGTTTTGATATATGACTGACTGAAACTATTGAGCTTTTTTTATGAGAAAGCTCAAACAGTCAAAATATAACAAATTCATAAATAAAAATAGACACAAGAAAATCAAAATGAATCAAAAAGTGTCTTTGGAAGAAACTTACCAGATTACTAAGTGTTGAATATATAATCAAACGTTGAATCAGATCTCAAAGTTTACAGAGTCAAATTACATATGGATGATAATTCTCATTTTGATTTATTATGAAGAGATAACATGTTAAATGATGAAAATGATGATAATCAACAATAGAAGGAAAATTTTATATCTCTGATTCATTTAAATCTGCACTTGTTGTTGTGTTTTCTGTGATTGACTTTATACTGTAGGTAACTAACTCGAATTGAATCACTTGACTAATTCACAACTACCACGTCTGTACTGTTGTTTATTGAATCAAGACAATCATAGCACAAGTGATACTTTAATCAGCGTTATTACAACAAGTTATTCTATTCTTTTAATGTTCTTCACCAATTTTGATCTTTCATCTATATTTTCACGCTAGATATTGAAATGGATTAAATAAGCGTATATCAATGTGTAAATACGTGTACGCGTGTGTGTGTGTGTGCGTGTGTATGTAAGTTTCATCGTCCATACGCATCAGTTGTTTTGCTGAAATAGCATGTAACTCCGCCTACGCTCCTGCTGATGATGATAAATGTACCATTTTGTATATTACCATTTGGAATAGGGTATATCACATTCTCTCATGTTCATTATGCTATTGGTGCATTAATTAACATAGGGGAAGAGATTTTTCAACGGAAGATACTACTTATATATATATATATATATATACATACATAATTAAAAGTTTTCTATTAAGAGGGAAACAAAATATGCGATAAATATAATAATTTGATATTTTTGTGTTGTCATATTATATATGTCCATCTTTGTTAGTACCCGATATGTAAATAGGATTTTCTTAACAAACAGTCTGTTGGATAAATATTTGAAACAATGAGGAAGGCAAGACCCAAGCGAACAGCCAATCAAAATGAATAGAAAAGTCTTTCCTCTGATTTTGTTGATTTTTCAGATGAGACGCACACCAGTTCCATGAAAGGAATATGTGGGCAGTTGAGAAAGATAGTATTTCAAAGATAAATAGGTTATGAAATGACATGATGTGCAATCATTTCTATGATTTCATGTACAAAATGTAGTTTGAACTAATGCTAAGAACCCCAATGACTAACCGGAGGACACTTCTATGTACAATCATTTTACCTTATGTAATTTGTTTTCTATAAAGTTTGCTATCCATATAACGCCGTGGTTATTCAGACTTATTTGGTTCATCGTTTGTTTGGGTCGCCATACTTTGGTATGGACAATGAGAATTGACCAAAACTCATTAAAAAATTACTCATGTAACTGAAAATTTTACGATAAGTTCTTTTCTGATGATTTATTTGACAACTAACCACCATCGCGGAAACTTCAAAGCTCTATCTTGAGGCTCTATGTCCCACTGGGAAAGTAAAGGACTAAAAAGAATACCGCTAAACTATGAAAGGGAATTAAGGCAAAAATAAGACCCTATTTAGTTAAGTCTAAAACTGACCAAAATAAAGGAAGAGGGTTTGATTGTAATGATCAAAACCACTGTATAACATACAGATTTAATGTTTCTAGTTTATTAGTGCAACTGACTAAGAGACTTATCCTTTTAAAAGCGCTTTCTTCATACTATTTGATTCACATATCATAATATCCATCTGAAATTCATAATATATTTTGAATTACTGATTATGTAAAGTTTGAAATTCTTTGACAAAAGGATCTTAAGTGATTTTATTTATCGCACAGATCATAGTGCCTCCTGTTTATTGCTGACAGTTTAGTGATAAACATAAATCAGCAGTTTTCTCTGAAGGGTCTAGTGATCTAGCAAAGCTGTCATATTCAGGAATATTATGTTCTTTATAAATTCGTTGTTTGAAATGAAAAGTATCCTCACTCACTCTCTCTTTAAGAATAAAATCATGTGTATCTTTATCCATTTTATATGGACAGTTCATAAAAACAGTATCTTTCTATAGTAAGCAGATATTATAGGAATAATAAAGCTTTTTCACTACCAAATCTGTTTATAAACTGTTATCAAGAAGCATTATGGTCAAATATTTACACCCACTAATCATGACTCAGTTGGTTTCAAATCCCTTCCAAATGCTTACTTGCAAGTTATTACATAATCCTTTCTCCTGGATGTTGCTGGCCACTTAGTCTTTTTGTCTTGAAGCTAACTGCCAAAATTTCTGTGGTAAATAACTGCCTTCTTTTCATCTTATTTGCTACTGATCATGACATCACATTTCATCCATTACTATTTCCTTAAATCACGATCCCCATCCCAAATAGTCTGCTGAATTAAACTCAAATAATGTATATTCTTATTTCGTTATTACTGTGTGTATTTTACGCTATCTGCAGTTTAAGAAAAGCTCCGAAATAAAAATATTCTCCTTGTTTTGACGAAGATGATCAAGGCAACACGTTATACGAGTTATTTAGCCAAAAGTTATGCGCAGTTATATCTTACACTTTAAATGTGTCATACTGCAAGTATAGAAATTTAAATGTGTCCTACAACGCTTTGAACTTTCCCATTGCAACGTATAAAATCAAAAAAATCTGTAAAGCATCGCTAAAATGGGTATCGGTTTTATGAGTAAACATATCTACCTTTATAAGTTACCAGACCGCAGGTGTTACGAACTTCCTGGAATAATTTGAGCGCTAGGCGTAGATCACCTTCTTACTTTTTCTTAATTCCTAGCGTTTGGAGTGAAACATACAGTTTCGGGTTTGGAGCATTATTGTTTCTTTGTGGGCCGGGATTACTAGTCTCACGCCCAACCTTCCTTTTTGGGGGGGGGGCTTGCTACCGGTTAGACAAGATTTAGGAGTGTGTCACCTGTGAATCGAGCATCGGATTACGTAAGTGATTGGCAAACATTTAACCGCTGAATGATTGATGTCGACCACATTCTTTAGATAACTTAGGAAAAGAGTAATCAGATTGTTAGACTAACTCTTCACTAGAATTAATGATGGATCCATTTTATTATTGAGAATTTTGTTTTTATAATCAGTAAATCTTTAATTTTTATCTTCTGATGTAAATTGATTTCTAGAATGACTGTTGATTGACGTGTTTAGCTGATAGTAACTCATTACTTTGAAGTTATTGCCACCGTGTTTGTAGAATTATTTCTGTTTGGCCTACTTCTTCAGATGATGCCAACAGTAGCCTAATCCATCTACCTCAACTTGAGTATCGTAGTCAGCAGTATCAGTTATTTGGTGAATAGAAAGAATGCTTTAACAAGTACATCTAAACAGAATTTTAGAGCAATATGTTTCAATCTTCATCACGAGATGAATGAGCTAAAATGAGCTAAAATGAAGTTAAGCACGTGTTTCACAATAACCTTAACAAGAAAATACAACATATATATATTAGCGGAAAAATATTCAATGAAAATCTTCACTTGTCATTTTTGTAGTGACCATTTTCATTATTCACATCATTCAGTAGCAGAAGTGAATACTGAGGAAAGAAAGAAAGAAAGAAAAGGAAGAGAAGAGAAGAGTAGCAGAGTAAATTAAGACATCTGACCTATACTCACTCTGTTTATTATTATTTATTCTCTGAAAGGTCAAATTCTACTTCACATCTCTCTTGTCATTTCTAGTCAATGCATAAAAAAATGATCTAACTTTGTATTTCCGCATCAACCTAATTAATATGTTGTTTAAGTCTTTTTTTCTTCATTTTTATGTAAGTAGAAGGCTACATACCATTCTGATTTTATATGATAAAAAAAATTAGAAATAGAAATTTGATTTTTATTCATTATATATTATTATATTTCATATTCAACAGATATTTTAGCTATTAGAATCAAAAAAGATGATGTCAAGCCAACAACAATGGAAGTTTCTTCAATACAGTTAAATTCTATTACGTCATACTTCACTGATGAATCATTTCACTCCACCTATGGATGCCTACTGACTTCAACAAAAAAGAAGATCTTTCATAAATTGGATGAAGTTTTTCTGTGCATATATATGTGTATGTATGAGGGAAAGAGAGATTATGAAATGAATGATTTTATCAAAAAATCGTTCTGTATTGATTTTCAAGTATTGGTTTTTGTAGGGATTGTGTTTGATTGGTTGGAGGGTTTCATCATGAGCTGACAACAGTTAGAGAATGGTCTACAAGTTCGCCTTGTAACCGGAAGGTCCTGGGTTCGAACCCCAGTGGATGCGTACTGATGGAGAGTCCCATACTAGGACGAAACGGCTATCCAGTACTCTCAGGTTTTCCAATGGTTCTCCAATCGATGTCAGCTCCTGATGAAACCATTCAACCGTTCTGTATTGAATTATTTTTATTGGTATAGCCTAAGAGTAGCATGGTAAATATTTCTCTGACTGATAGTCGTATTTAGCCATGTTTTACATGACATTCTGGATTTAAGAGTAATACACTGAATGAATCTAGGTGTTACCATAAAACCGTAAAGTTTCACTGTTTTTATTAAACCATCTTATTTACTAGTAGATTTAATCCAGGTGAACATTAGTATAAACGGTGATAAATCTGCGGTATAGAATCCTTTCTACATGACCATACGTTCTGATAAAATAAGTATTATGATCGATTATTATTCTGCTATTTCTCTATAAATGCAGTAAGGGAATTCTAACATCATGACGTTGTTTGAATATAAACAAGTAATTATTGGCAACATGTAATAGTCATAACGTCATTTAGTATTTAATGAATTATTCTGTTTTATGGCACGAGGTCAAGAAAGCAACACGGACCTTCATTAGTCTGGAAATCCATTGCAATCGGCATAAAGAACGACATTCATGTCAAATAAGTGCTTCTGTATGGTTTAATAACTTGGCATGTCAGCAAAAGCATTTCCAACAGGCTGCAGACCTTCATTACACAACTGTCTTCTCTCCATACTGAATATTCGATGGGATATGTAAAAGGGGACTCTGCCAGCAAACCAACAAATACGCACAGAGAAATGGAGATAGATTGGAAACACACTGAGGAGGCCAATGAGCGACATAAAGCACCAAGCCCTCGAGTAGGACCCGAATAAGAAACTACAAGTTGGGTGTCTGAGGTTAAAGTGAAGTTGGCCATGTGAGGAGGAAATGAGACCTTATGAACAATCTTAGAGATAGAGAGAGTTTAAGAGGGCTACGGACAACAGGATGTCATGGAGATGTACTGCTGAATCCTTTGTTTCACTTGAAACCCAATGGAATAATAATAATAAATAACACCTTAGAAAACCACATAGTATATATAATATAGTATTTTGTTACGGGAATCCTCTACTGAATAAGTTAAACGTCTTCTTTTCTTCCTGTTAACTTTTCTATCAGAAGGCTTTCACAAGTTATTCTGAATATATCATGATTAAAATTGATGATATATTACAC